GACTGAAGGGTGTTTAGGTCAGACTCCTGCCAGGAGAATCCATCATTCCTTATTCAGGAAGTCTCCCAAGGCCATTCCCCCATTTTCGGAGAACCTGCCCTCTCCCCTCCAGGCCACCTTCAGATTCAACAGAACGAACTGCCTGTGGGCACACAAGTCTCCTTGCTCGGATGCAGGGGCCACTTAGCTCTTCAGCCCTGGGGTCCGGGGGCATCTCCCCATCTTCCTTGATCCCCTCTAGTAGTAATAACAACCATACTACTGCTAATAAAAAGGCAGAGAGAAGCCTGGCAATGGTGCTTCTGCCCTTTATGAAAATCACTTTAATTTAACCCAGATGGGTCTCCTCACTGATAACCTCGAATGACTAGCACCCTGAATTATACTTTCCGTGTGAACACACTGGGTTATATTTAGCCACAAATTACAACTCTGTTTAACAAGCACCTTCCCTGCAAGGGGAGGGGGCTAGGCAGCCTGCTGACCTGGTTGGTCAAAATCAGCAACAGAAGTGAAGCCTCCCTCAGAGGAGGAGGCAGAGGCAGTGGGCAGCAGAGGTGGCCCTGGCTGGGGAAGCTGTTCATCTGACTTCAGGTCTCAACCTCACTGCTCTCCTTGCTGTTTAAAACTTACAACGGGGTCCTGAGGTCTGTCTTAGAGGTACAACCTGTGCTTCCCTGATGGTCCCTGGGTCTCAATGGGCACTGACTGAGGCCAGGCCCCTTGCTTAATCTGGAGCTGGGACTGATCCTCAGGAGAGATGGGCTGTGTGACAGAGGACTTGCCCAGCCAGGCCTGGCCCTGGGACAATTCCCTCTTTGTGGCCTTGATTCAGCATCCTGCCGACAGCCCCTTCCCCTGACACCTTGCCTCTGGGCTCAGCTAAATAGCGGTGCTGGGACTGAAAGCTTTGTTCTTTTGGGAGGCAGCCCCCTGCTCTTGGGGATCTAGGGCACCCTCACTCTCCTGTCCCACCCAAATTAGTCTGCCTACCAACTCAAGTTCCAAAGCAGACCTGGCAGGGGAAGGCTGCCCCACCCCCACCCCCCAAGCCTCCAAGCAGCACCTCCAAGATCCCACCTGGGAGGGCTTCAGGGAGTCTGCAGCATAGGAGAGGGAGCTTTCCCCACACTGTGTAGCCAAAGGTCCTGATGAGGAGGCCTCCCCCATGGTGGAGGGCCTCCTCCTTCAGGAGACAGGAAGGGGCCCAAGACATACTCCTCTAGCCAGGGCAGTTCCTGGCAACTGTAGTTGACTTTTTTTTTTTTTTAAACCCCTCTTATTTGAAGAGAAAGGAGCAAATTCTTCATCCTGAGCTGTCCTTGGAACACTGACTCTGAGTAGGGTGGGGTACAGCTTTCCTCCCATGAGGGAGGGTCCAGGGTGCTGTGGGCCACCTCAGCTTCCACCCAGGCCTTAGCCCACCCTTCCTGCCCCAGCCTGGGTCCAACCTGCAGGTGTTCACAGGCTGAAAATGTTCAGACCTAGGTCCCAGGGCCCCCAGTCTGCCCCTACCTGCCCCTCCATGTGCCAGCCTGCAGCACCCTGGCCCCAGTCTCAGGTCTGGTCTTTGGGCCAGTCCCCCGCACATCTGCTGGGAAGAACTAAGAGTCAATTTTTGTCTTCAAGAAATTGTTTCTATATGGGGCGTGGTGGCACACATCTGTAATCCCAGTAGCTCTGGAGGCTGAGACAGGAGTTTCATGAGTTCAAAGCCAGCCTCAGCAAAAGTGAGGTGCTAAGCAACTTAGGGAGACCCTGTCTCTAAATAAAATACAAAAAATATGGCTGATGTGGCTTAGTGGTCAAGTGGCCCTGAATTCAATCTCCAGTACCACCCCCCTAAAAAGAAAGAAAGAAAGAAAGAAAGAAAGATATTGTTTCTAATATGCCCTTTGACTAATGGCCCAGGGAACAATGGAGAGACACCCAACATACAGTTACCCGGCAGCACGGCCCTGCTGCTCTCTGGCCCCAGTAAGGCATTTATTTGGAGCAGTGGTTAATTCATAATTTTATATTTTGCCTGACATCCCCAGCCCCTTATATTAAAAAATGATTACTTTGGGGCTGGGGATGTGGCTCAAGCGGTAGCGCGATTGCCTGGCATGTGTGCGGCCCGGGTTCGATCCTCAGCACCACATACAAACAAAGATGTTGTGTCTGCCAAAAACTAAAAAATAAATATTAAAAAATTATAAAAAAAAAAATGATTACTTATTTGATGTTTTCAGATCAGTTGGGACCTCGGTCATTTGGGAGCTGGGAAATCTAGATTTGCTGCTAGTGTCAGGGAGAGTCGGGGCAGGAGTGCTGCAGGGCCTCCAGGACAGGCTTGGGGGTGACAGGCTGCAAGCTGTGGCTGTAACAGCAGGGCTCAGGACTGCTTCTGCTCGTTCGGTGTGCCCCTGTGTTGGGATGTGATGTAGAAGTGTCTCTGCCTGCTCGTTTGTTTTGTTTCCTGACGCTGGGGATGGAACCAGGGCCTCAGGCGTGTTAGGCAAGCACTCCACCACTGAGCTACATCCCAGGCCTGCCTTGCCTTTGTGTTTTATACCCATGTGCATGTGGGAGTGTCACACACTATGTGAGACTCACATGTGCCAGAGTGGGTTTGTGTACACACGGGAATGGGGTGATGTGTGAGCACTCATGAATGTGTGCATATCAAGGGAGCACACTCGCCAGGTGTGATGGGGCACACCTGTAATCCCAGAGGCTTGGGAGCTGAGGCAGGAGGATTGTGAGTTCAAGGCCAGCCTCAGAAACTTAGCAAGGCCCTAAGCAACTCAGTGAGAACCTGTCTCTATAAATAAAATACAAAAAGGGCTGGGATGTGGCTCAGTGGTGCCCCTGAGTTCAGTCCCTGGTACCAAAAAACAAAAGGAGCATGCTCTCAAAACTGCATGAATGTTCGTGTGTGCACACGTGAGAACAGCATTCAGGGAGTGGCCATGCCCAGGTATCAGGGCACAGCTGGCTATGCATGGCGTCCATTCATCTTCTCCCCAGGCCAGAGAAAACCCTGAATGGTGTCCACCAGGCTTTCAGAAATGGCTGGGGCTTCTGTTGGGAGGAATGGATCTGAGGGCTAAGGATGCTTCTAGGATTTCAGGCTGCTGAGCAGGTGGGCCAGGGGCTGGGTGTCTTAGGGCCCAGGTCCACTAAGAACTCACTGGTTTAGACACTCCAGCATCAAGACTGGTATCAGGATTGGGGTTGTAGTTCAGGGGTAGAGCACTTGCCTAGGATGTGTGAGGCATTAGGTTCAATCCTCAGCATCACATAATAATAAATTATTGTGTCCATCTACAACAACAAAAAACAACTGACTTCAGGCTTAATATCTTCTCTCTTTGCCTGGCCCTCTTCTTGTAAAAGGCGGATCTGCAGATCCCAGTATGTTCCTCTAAAATTAAAAACATTTGTTAGCTATGGACAGCAGGAGAGTCAGAGGGCCACCAAGGAGGCATCCTCTATGCAGATAGCGAGCCCAGCCAAACATGCCTGGGCAGCCCGACTCCAAGCCTTGGGAGGGGAACACGGGAGCTTATTTTGTCCTGCAGAGCTGCCCAGGGCTGGGTGCCTGCGCTGGGCAGCTGCCAGCCCTGGCCACATCCAGCAGAGGCCCGTCTGCAGCTATTTGCTGTAACAACTGTTTTGAAACAGTATTGAGAGAGGAAGGGGAAAAAAAAAGCCCACTAAATTTGTTTTAAGTGAATGCTGCAGAATAGGGCTGCAGAGGTGGGGGGAAATACCAGGGGGCTGCAAGGTCCGAAAGGCATCCAGGACCTCCCCACGTGGGCAACCTCCTTCTGGGAGGAGACACAGGAGAGACAAGAGACAGCACTGGGGGATTCTGAAGCCAGCCCCCACCCACTATTTAGGAATGGGGAAGCTGCCATGCACAAGGAACTAAACCCAAAACTTAGGGCAGAGAGGACCCACATCCGTGCTCTCCTGCGCTCATCCACCTCCTGGGCAGTAGGTATTTACTGCGGCTGGGGCCCAGAGCCTGCCTATCAGCCAGGTTCCAGGACCCCTAAATCATATCCTGCCTGTGGGGGGTACGGTTTGGGGGTCCCAGAGGCCTTTACAGCTGGCTCCTCAACGCACTCTGGAGGGGAGTAGGGCCTCAGAGAGCTGGGGGTCCACCCCTCCCTCACAGGGTGGTTGGAGGCAAAGCCCCTTTTCAGAGCCTGCGGGGCCGTGGCGGCGTGCTCGGAGCAATTTTCAGGAACACCCCTGGTCGCCAAGGTGTCCTCTCTGTTGGATTCAATATTTTTCTCCTACATATGTTTTTTTTTTTCTTAAAGTAGGGTTTTGCGAATTAATTTTTAAGAAGAAAAGATTCCTGGATTGGAAAACCAACTCCGTGGAGAAACTGGTGAAAAGCTCGGCTTTCAAAGGAGCGCAGGAAGGCGCAGTCTGAGACGGGCACCCTGCGAGGACCCAGGATTCTGGGCGCCGCGCGCTTCCATCCCGCGCCCGTCCCTCCCGAGGGCTGGAAACGCGGGTCTCCGACCGCTCCCCCCCCGGGAACAGTTTCTCCGGAGCCGGGCCGCCTCTCCTCGGTGTGCGTGGGAGGCGGGCAGCCTCCGCAGAGGCCTCCGGGCGGGACCCTGTTCGACCGCGTCTCCCCCGGATACTCCCGTGCCGCTGCTGGCCGTCTGGTGCTCCCGATGCCACCAGGAGCGCGGTGGTCCGCGCTCTCCCACCCGCGCCTGAGCCAGACGCCGCCGCCCCCAGCCAAGACCTGCGCCCGGGGACCTAATTCAATCGCCCCCGGCCTAATGAATAGACGCGCGCTAATCGGATCTCGGGCGCTCTACGGGATTTATGCCTTGCGCCTCTCCGCCCGCCCGCGCGCCACGGTGGAGTGGCTGCGGCGCCGAGCTTCCGAGGGCGCCAGCCTGTGCTGGTCAGGGTCCCAGGCCGGCTGCGCAAGCTCGCGAGCCTCGTTCTGCGCCCCCAGCCTGGCCCGCGGAGCCTGGGCTTACCTGGAGTTCCTCCAGGCCAAGTGCCCGAAGTGGGAGCCCGCAGAGGTCTGGTGCCCGGCGGGCGGGAAATCCCGGAGTCCCCGCCCGCGGCCCCCACCCCGGGCCAGCGCGGCCCGCGGGGGGCAAGGCCGGCTCGTCCGTCTGCCCGCTTTCCCCTTTCTCTGCGGATTCCTTTGATCCACGGGCTCTCCGCCGCACCTCCGCTCCCGGGCTGCCGGGGTCGGCCCGCGGGGATCCTGGAAACAGTCCCCAGCTTATCTCCTTTCATCAAGCGGCCTGGGGCCGCCTTGAAACCGCGGAGCCAGTAATTGCTTTTTTCAGGAGGCCCTGTGCGGACTGGACAACAGCCAATCAGCGCCTTGTTTACACTCGGTGATTGACAGCCTGATGGCCAAGTGCCAACCAATCCCAGCAGTCCCGGGGGAGCGAGCGGGGGGGAGGGCGGGGAAAGAAACGAGACAACCAGCCTCAAGTTTAACTCCTTCACCTCCCAGCCGGAATGAAACCATGGAGAAATTCTCATGCGTGTGAATGAGTCGGCTAGCATCTCGTTTATATATCCTTTTTCATACGGAGAAAGAGGAGTAAAAATAATGTATTCATCGCCACTAAGGCATCACCTCGACTCCTCGAGAATAAATACCATTTGGATAGGAAATCAAATTCTAAATGAAATATTTGCTTGCAAAATATTCTAAAAAGTGGTTTGAATATGAATTCAATAAAGAGAATAGTTCGGTGGCTGTTTTCCATTGTGAGAATTTAACAGATGTGCAGGAGAGTGGCACAGAGAAATGCTATGCACGGTTTTCACACCGAGACCCCCACCCCAAATTATCAGGTGAAAGGACCTTGAAACACAGAATCAGAAGAAAGAATAATCCGTGTCTTAGCAACAAATCCTCGATTTTCATTTTGATTGTTGCTCCGTTGCCAGGTGTGGCACAGGGAGATAAAAATTGAGCGCTTGCAAATAGGTGGTGGGAGAGGAAGAACTCATCTCTCCGAGTCTGAGGCCGGGAGAGGACAGGGTAGTGCCCGTGCAGCCCGAGCCGCGGGTGTGCACGCATTCCTGGGCTTTAGCTAGAGCAGCGGCAGTCTCAGAGTGGTGGAAGGTCTGGGAAACCCGAGAAGGCCTCTGGGCTTGGAAGTGGGGCCTACCTGCACCTAGGTCCTGCCACCTGCCAGACAGATCCCAAGTATGAAAAAGGGCATCTGCTTTAAGGGGCGTTGCTGTTTCTTCTCCTGGCATTTTGTACACAGAAACCAAGCATTAGACCTGCGGATTTGAAAAAAAAAAAAAAAAAGCCTCCCCCTGGGCCTGGACACGCGCTCTCACTCGTCCCTGCTCCCTCTCCCGCCCAGCGCCGCCACATTCCCATTCAGCAGCGATGATCTGCGCAAAGGAGCTGCGCAGTCGCCGGGCTTGAATTAGGCGCCATCGGGCTTGGTAGTAGCCCTGCTGCTCCCTGATTGGCAGCTCCCTGGCCCGGCGCCAGCCTATTGGGAGGCCTGTTTACGCCGAATGAGTGGCACAAGCTCCCGGCCGTGGAGGGCCGCGCGTCCAATCAGCGCGCGGGCTGCTCCAGGCTGAGTGGCACGAGCTTATTAGTATGCAGGGCCCGTGGCTCGCCGCGCGGGGCTGCAGGTTTGAGAGCCGCTCTGGATGGGCTCGCTAGAGTCGTTGTTGTGGAAGCGGTGCATTTACAGTGCAACAGTCAGCACATTGAAAATACCAATAGGAATACAAAACAAAGTCACATTTACTGATTTAATTGTATTGCATTCAATTGTATCCAGGAAACAGCCTCCAGTAAGTAACTGAAATTGCTTTCATTTTTTTTGTTTTTGTATTTTTATTATTTTATTTTGGCTTTGGGGATTTACATTTTTGGCAAGATAAATTCAGGATTGTGATGTTAAGAAATATTATTATATTTTCCCTTTTTTAAAAAATCCGTTATAATATTGAGAAGGCTTTTTTCCTAAAAGATGGACTTATATATGAGTGCTATTTTCTTCCTCTGAAAAATCTTATCGATCGGTTTAAAATTCCCCCCGTGATGCGTCCTTGCTTTGCTCTGAGCGCTTGTTGTCTCGATCGACATCCAGCATTAAAAATAAATAATCGAGACAGGACAGGAACCGCCAGGTTGTGTCTGCCGAGCGCCCCGCGGGTGGCTGCGGGTAGACACTCAGCAAGCGCCTAGCTCTGGAGGAACCACGAGCAACCCCAATTATTTGCTCTTGCATCTTACTACACTTGCCCGAGTAGTCCTATATGGGCTCCGCCCGGTTGCTCCGCGGCACAAGGAACTGGCCGGCTCGTGGCGGCCACCGCTGCTGTTCAGAGGGGCTTTCCCGGCTGCAGCAAGGGGCTGAGGAGGGGAGATTTTCGGGTTTCACTTTCAAAAGCCTAATTCATTTCAGGAAAAAAAAAAAATTCCCGGGAGGAGTGGGGGTAGAGGATGGGCACTAGAACAGCCGGACGTTTTTACTGCATGCGTTCCGGGCAGCGCGCGGGCTTGGACTACGAGTCGCGTGGCTGGGTCCACCGGCCGGTGCGTCCCCGGGCGCGGGGATCCGACGCGACCCCAACTCTCACTCGTCTCCCGAGGGGGTGGGCGCGGCCGTTTCGCAGGGAGCGGGTTTTGTAGCACCGCCCGAACACGGTGCGCTCCTGGTGCCGGCCTGGCCTGCAGGCCCCAGGGCGCTCGCTGGCGCGAGGGAGATGGGTTCTGAGCTAGGCAGACCGGCCCAAGCCCTGATCCCCAGTAGGCGGCCAAAGCAAGAGCGGGTTTTTAGATGCACAGTTGAAAACAAAGCAAACCTGAAGAAACCCGGGATCCTGAAGCGCGGGAGACAAGCGTCAGGCCGCGGGAAGAGGGGAACCAAGGCTCCGGAGGTCACGCCCTGCCACCCTGGGGAGGTGTACCGAGGTTCAGTTCTTTCCGAAATGCCCTCGTCAGCGATTCTCTGGGAGGAGCGGGGGCCCTCTGCATACTACCGCTTTCGCTGGGTTTTCTGCTTGATCCAACCCTACCTGGGGCTGCGGCGCAGTCTTCGCGGTCCTCTGCGGTGGCCTGTCCTGAGGTTGGGCGGGGGGTGGGTTTGGAGCTCCGGGACTCCTCGGGTGGCGGCGCCACAGTTACGGGGCCGCAGGACTCTGAGCCCTGGCCGCGATGGCTGCCAGTCCGCGTCTGGTTCCTGGCTGGCTCTGGTTCCCCAGGCTCCGCGAGCCAGTCGCTCGCAGACAAGGAGACGCGGTGCAGTCCCTCCCCGGGAAGAGGTTACACAAAGAAAAGTCTCCCCGAGTCCAGTAAGAATCGCAGCGGCACGTACCGGCGACCTAATCTGCCCCCTGTTTGCGTAAAATATCGAGCGGGTAGGTGAGAGGGAACAATCGAGTCCGCGATCCGCCCGCAGGGGGTGGAAGAATAAAATTACTGCTTCGTAGAGGAGCCCGCGTCCCGAGAATCGCGAGTAGCTTGCGTTTTCTCCACAACTTTGAAATTTCATACTTGGGGGGCACCCACAAAACAAAAGCTCAACACACACGACTCCCCAGAGGCCGCTGGAAAGCCTAGCACCTCCGCTAGCACAGCCCCCCGACCCCTCTCCGGCCCTTGTGCCTTTGAAGCCGCGGGTTCCTGACCTCCCTCCCCTTCCTTCTTTCCCTTTGTCCCTCCTGGCGCCCTCCGGGGCTCGAGAGGCGCCGACCAGGGCCAGAGCGCACAAGCCTCTTGCAGGGCCAGGACATACCCTTCTCTGACCCCGGAGCTAGCAGCCCCTCGGCCCTGCGCTCTCCGGGTCCTGGAGGCCTGGTGCTCGCTTGCGGGCCTGGGCGACAGAGAGCCGAGTTATTTGTTGGACCCGGGGAGAGTGACGATCCCTAGAGGGAAAGGAGCCCCAAACCCCTTTGTATGCAGTTTCGAGACAAAGAGAACTCTTTGTGTAGTCCCGTTTATTTACAATGCAAAAGCTCTCCGAATAAATATTAAAAAAGCTTATCAGCTGAGCAAATATGTATTCACTTAATACATTATGTTTTCGGTTATAGATTAAATCAGACACAAAATAGTCTGCAAATAAGACGTTGTAGAACTCGAAGCATAAAATACAGCAATTTAAAATGGTATTTACGAAATGGAAAACATCTTAATCGCTTTGTTGTCACGGTGGGACGGCTTATTAAAAAAAAAAAAAAAAAAAAAAAAACACCACGAGGTTTTCTGCAAAGTTCACAACTAAAGAGTATTGAGCTTGTCCATATCCCTTCTGTTGGAGGTGATAGCAAACATTAAAACAATGTGTGTTTAGGAAATAAAAAGAAATATGAGGAATGGAGAAGGGGAGAACCTTTGGTAGCATGCCCTCGGTAGTGCACACTTAACATAGCTTGCTCCGTTGCTTTACTGCCTTGTCTGAAATTGTCCCCAATTTCGCCTGGAAGTAGATGCTTCTTGGTGGGTGGGAGTGGAAGAGAAGACAGGCGAGGGTCATTTATAGTCGGCCTTGCCGAGGGTGGGGGTGGATGGACCATGGAGGTCCGGGGTCTGCGGGGACTTGAGCGTGGGTGAAGGCCGCTCTGGGCCGGGCCCATCCTCCCCAGCTGCTGGGCCGAACCCGGTGCCGTACATCCGCATCCCTGGGCCGCCGGGCCACGCGGAGACCGACCTTAGCTGGGCGATCCTGGACAGGCAGACACTGAATGGAGAAATGTTGTGGCCGATTTGGGAGGCTGAAAGAAAACAATTTCCGACTCTCAAAGCATCCCCCCAAAGCCCCCAATCCGCAGAGGAAGATCCTGGGCGAATTTGATTGGGGGGCGGGGTGATTGTTCCAGCCTCGCCAGGAAGCTCCCGGCTCGGGGACAGCAGGCCGGGCACTGCGGCGCGGCGGCCCAGGTGATGCGGGAGCCCGCGGCTCCGGGGAGCTGGCTTGGGATCCTGGCACGGTGTCGGGGGGCGGGGGCCGTCCCGTTGGGTTAGGGGGGCGACAGATTCAAAAGAACGGACTGAAAGACGCATGGGGGGATGGGAGAGGGGAGAAAAGGAAGATTATTAAAAAAAAAAAAACTCTTGAGTTACAATCAATAAAATTACTCGCTTAATTAGCATGGTTATTCGGTTAAGCGGAATGCAGTAAAAGCTGGACCTCGGAATGATGGGAGAGAGGAAAAATGAGAGCTTGGACCCCAGGCCTTTTCCTCCGAGACACCTTTGGGCAGCGGGGGAGGGGAGAGGGTGTGCGAGTGTGTGTGTGTGTGTGTGTGTGTGTGCGCGCGTGTGTGTGTGAGTGCGCGCGCGAGTGTGCGTGATGGCTTCGCAGATTTGGGTTTTTATCACCCAGTGGAGCCAGCAGCCTCTTCAACACGGCGCCCTAGCCGCAGGGAAGCGCGGGGACGCGAAGGGGAAGTGGCGCGCAGCGCGGCCGGGTTGCCCCTGGCTCCTCCAGGCCAAACGTGGTCGGGATGGTGCGTGTATGCGCGGGGACCCTGGCGCTGGGCGGCCCGGGTGGCCCGGCGCGCGCGCGTGTGCGGCAGAAGAGACGCGCGGAGCGCTCGGGTCCCCCGCCGCCGGGCCTGGCCACCGCTCCGGCCAGGGCGGGGGGAGGGAGACGGGTGGGGCGGGGACCCCCGCGCGAGCCGAGCCCCCGATTCACCAAGTCTCTCTGTTTGCCTTCACAGACCATGGACCTGCACGGCGGCCGCCAGCTCGATGTGCGGCCGCCAGCCGAGAAGCCCAGTCCGCCCGCGTGCTGACGGGCCCCGCTGCCCCTGCCGCCGGTGACCCCAGACGCCTCCTCCGCGCCGCCCGCGCGCCACCCGCGCGCCGAGCCGCCCCCGGGCCCCGGCCGCGCTGCTCCCGGGAGGCAGCAGCGGGTCGGGGCCGGGGCCCGGGCCCGGCATGGATGGCCGCGACTTCGCGCCGCCGCCTCATCTGCTTTCAGAGCGCGGGAGTCTGGGCCACCGCAGCGCCGCCGCCGCCGCGCGTCTCGCCCCGGCCGGGCCCGCCACTCAGCCCCCCGCGCATTTCCAGCCCGGGAAGTACTTCCCATCGCCGCTGCCCATGGCTTCACACACAGGTCAGTGTCCCGTCTGGGCGGGTGCGGGACGGAAGGCTCAGCGGGAGTGGGATCGTTCGAGTTCGAGAGTCGAATGGGTGTCCGCCCCTCCGCTCCTCCGAGCAGCTCGCGAAGCTTTGGTTTCATTTCCCTGCCCTCCGCCGAGAGGGCCACGAGTCCGGCTAGTCCAGGAGCCGGGTCCTCAGTTTACAGCGTCCTTTCCCGGGGTCTCCCCCGGGGTCTCCGAGAGAGGGCAGCCCGCTAGCCCGATAAAAATAAAGCCTTCCGCTTCTGGGCACCCTCCCCCACCCCTTCCTGCACAACTAAATTCCGCGGAAACCTCTTTTCTGCATTCTGCATTCACCTCCTTGGGACGCTCTGGGGCTGGGACAGCGAGGAGCTTTCTGCGGAACAAAACGGCTGTGTAGCTGGGGGAGGGGGCCTGGGCGCGCCTGGCCCGCGGATTAGGGCGGTGTGCGCGGGGCGAGCGCTAATGGGGACTGCTGGTGTAAGACGATCAAATCCTGTTTCTATATAAAGCCTTGAAGTGTCAGGGCGAGAATGGGTTTGCAGGGGATGCATTTGCTTTAACAAGTGCCTCTGGTATCCCGCTAAAGCCGGACAAAGCGTGGCCAGAGCAGCCCGCGCCCGTGGAGGGCAGCGCCGCGCCGCGCTACGCTGGGGATTTCGGTGCAGGCGAGTGCGCGCGGCGAGTTTGCGCCAAGAGGAGAGAACCTAGGGCGGCACTGGTGGAGCCGGGCCGGGCGTCCGCGCTTCTGTCCCTTGCCAGAGCCCACAGGCCTTTGGAGTCCCAGGGTCGCCGATATTAACGACCAGGGGAAGGGCGTTGGAGCTCCGCGCCCCACTCCACGGAGGTCACTGGCCCTCTCCTGCGGAGTTTGTGGAAGTGCTAGGGGCTGCTTGGGGGACACTCAGGGTCACCACACAGGGAGGCTTGCTTTTGTTTACAGTTTGTTCTAAACATCAGAAATGTTGTTTGCTGATTTAAAAAAAAAAAATTGGCAGTAACAGTTATTATTGTAGCTTGATGAACTGTGAATACTAATAAAATTATATCTGCTTTAATGGGATTACAATTAGTGTGTGGATTAAAACGGATGGCAGAGATGGGGCTAGAAGGGAAACGTCGGAAGGGAGGGCAGTCAAAAAGCAAAACGTACATTTCCTTAAAAAAAAAAAATCTCGAAATTGCTTAATTACTAACGGGCTTCCAGCATTAACAGCCAGAGGGTATTCAAAGCTGCGGGCTCAGGGCTCCCTGCGGGGTCAGCCTGGCACTGGCCACTTGCTGTCCTGTTAGAGCCTTCCTCCAGGCTGCCCTGTTCTCTCCGTTCTCTTCTTTCTTTCTCTCCCTTTTCCTTCCTATAGATTTATAACTGGAAAGAGAAAAAGGACTGGCCTGAGCAATTGGTGATTTAAAAATACCTTCCTGCTGTCCCTGTGGTTATTAAGTATCTCTTCCCGCCCCTGTGCTGAGATACTGTCCACCCAGCTCAGGCCCCACTGGGGCAGCTAGAGAGGGGATTGTGGTGAAGGCAAGGACAGTTCCCCAGCTTTCCTACCAGCCCCTGCTTCTGGCTGCAGGCTGTGGCCCCAGCTGGGGGGTGGGGAGGCTGAACCTTGTGGATGGGGGATGGGAAGGGAGCATTTGCCCTCCCCCCTCCGATATGCAGTGCCCTCTAGCCTGGCAGGTCACAGTACCAGAGAGGACAGGCCCCTGACACCAAGGCTTTCATAGCAGTGCCCAGGTCAGTCCGGGCCATGAAGCCTGGGGAGACCAGGCTACTCCCTGTTTCCCATCACTTCAGGTCACTGCTGCTTCCTGACCCCATCTACCAACCCACAGCCTGGCCAGCTCCTGGTCAGCCGCCATTTCCCCTTCCTGCCCTTATTTCCAGACCTAGGCAACACCCAGTCAGGTGGGAGTGTGGTGGGGTGGCCTGGACCTTTGTCTTGCTCATTCTAAGTTTAACCACGTGGTTCTTGGAGTGCAGGCTGCAGAGGGTTGTGAGAGATTGCACTGGGCCTGCTGGCCTGTGTCCTGCGTTGCCTGTTGCCATTGCTTGACCCCAAACCCTTCCTGCGTCCCCCTTGCACAGGGGGGTGGGGGGGGGCCCTAGAGGGCGCTGGAGGTCTCTCAGGGCTTCCTTTTTAGGGGCTAGAGGGCCACATGTCCGCTGTTCCTGGAGGCCCAGTTTCCACTCCTTTGGGGACTGGAGGGACCAATTGTGCTTGGAGATGTCCGACCTGTTTGTGGTGGGAAGCCTGGCTGTGCAGCGTGCAGCCGAACTCGCAATCGCCGAGAGCCCGGATATGGTGCTGGTTTAAACATTTCGATACTTGTATTTTTAGAAAAGGAGTTACACTCGGGATCCCTTTGCTTTACTCTTCATCTACATAGGATCTAGGAGGGGAAAAAAATGTGTAATGAA